GTTGAATCTTTTTCGTTCTTTTCCTTCCCTTGCTTGTCTGGACCATGGTTTCTTTCACGTACTAGCATGGTAAGAGTAAACTATCCAAGTTTTTGCACGTGTAACATCCACCAAGAGCACGTGACATATTATGCTATTGTTCCCAGTCTTTCTAGGCTATTTCCTTATCCCTTTCGCTTCCGGTACGGTTTTCTTAATTTTGATGGCTAATAAGAATACTTAAACAATACTAGAAGTAAAAAGTACAATTACTATTGTCTGTAGCGTGTAGAGGGGGGGGGGGGCTTCTCCAATGGATTGGCATACAAAAGACACAAAACAACACACGCATTATACATGTGCACCTAATACAATACTACAATATTTCACGGCATGGTCTACTTTCCAGACACGTTGAAGTTATAAGAAATCCATTACATAAATATTGCTTATACAGTAAGTAAGCCGCAAACGAGAGATCCCAGACGCATGTAGAGGTTCGATCTATTACCTATCCCAAAATTGATATAAATCAGCAATAAATCACGTAACATTACACCCGTTTTCAAAATTACGCGACCTCCCTGAAAAATACTCTTACTTCAAATTTCAGTTTTATGTCACAAGAACTGCTAAAAATAGCAAACGTAATCAAACTGCCAAAAGACATTTTAAACCGTATTTAATACCAAAACTGAACAAAAATGAGTTAGATAACTTAGATATACAAACTAAAGCACAATACAAGCCATCACAACAGAAATATGTGCCGTGAATGACTTTTAAAGTTTGAAAAATAACAATTTATCCTCGAATTTAGCTGTCAGTATAAAACACGCGCGCTAGACTATAATGGTGATGTTATGATTTTGTTGTGCTTAAATTTTGCAATAATTCTCACTAAAATATCTTGAAAATCATTGTAAGCCTGTTTATATAAAGCATACAAAGCATATACATCGACAAGGAACCACAAAACTCAAAGTTTGAACTTCGTGACCGAATGACATAAAACTGACATGTCAACTCTAGCATTTTCGTCCTTGGTCGCGTAATTTTGAAAACGGGTGTAAACAAAAGTTAGAAAGTATACGTAACGAAATACTTCACCACAAAATGAAAATAACGAAGTAAAACGTTACTTCTTAAAACGACTTTCTTCCAAGTAAGAGTACTCCGAAAATGTTTGCTCTGTTACATTTAAATCTTTATAAAACTAAACTGCCTTTCTCGAAAAAAATTGAGTTGGAAATAAAATTATTTCAAATTTTTGCATTCTAATAACTTTGCTTTCTTTTTATTTAAAAATTTTAATGTAATGAAAAAGGGTAATAATCAATAAAGAAACACTGAGACTATATTTTATATGCTGTCTTTTTTCATTTAAAATATAATTATGCAACGTCAGTGTTTAAAGCAAATATAAAGCGAACAATACATCAATATTTAAAACAAACTTACCTTCGTTAATGTCGGCGCCTTTACTCCCTTCTCTTTCCTCCCAATGCGTTCGCCTTTATTTTCATTAAAAGCTTTTGAAATTTACAAAATCTTGCAAAAATGAAACACATTTGCAAGAAATCATCAAATCAAGAAAAGTCTGCAGTTTGCTCTTTTGCTGTCGTCATTTTTAAATTTGACTGTGTCAATTATAAATTTGACCAATCAGTGTTCGCCATTCATGACAGTCCGCCATATTTTTGAGATCAGTGAGAATGACCACCCAGCGAAACACCGTTGGTCATGACCCACGCCCGTGTTCATTGATGAACTTCAGACTTCGCTAATGCGTTTTGTTTTCCTGGTGTATATAGTCGGGGGGAATTAGTACCCTCGCCCCGGGCTTCCGCCAGCAACGGCACTCCGCGCCGTTGGCTCGGGGATTAAACGCTCTACTAAGCAGGTGATATACATAAGTGTGTCCCATAAAACCCAAAACTGTTGAAATAACGTATTGTTAGAATTTTTATGTCTCAGCACTCTGCTGAACCCACAAGTGCATAAAAGTTTGACATAAGTAGATTTTAAGCTTAGAGAAACTGTTGAAGAAGCTGCTTTATATTCCCAAGAGCAGAAAATCGAGCGCTTTACAAAGATATATATTCAACTTCTTACTCAGTGAATATTTATGATATATGCACCCTGTCAATATTTTACGCATCTTTGCGTTCAGCTTATCGCTAGGGCATTCAAATTCAAACAATAAATTATTTCAATAGTTTTGGTTTTTTGGGATACGCTGTATAGGGATGAGAGACAAGAGTAATGTCAATATGTTCAAATATCGAAAAGACAATGTTATAAAATCTGACGGGCTTTTGTTAAATTTTTAATCACACGGACGACTAACTAACAATTAGACAGCGAAGCCGGCTGAGTTGTCTATGAGCGAATAGTCAACGAGGCGAAGCCGAGTTGACTATTCGTTCAGAGACAACGAAGCCGAGTTATCTAATTGTTTTAGTATAAACCACATAAAGAAAACAGAATTTTTCACTTCATAACTTTTTAACGAAATGAGCTTTTAAATGGCTTTTTTGGCGTCATTTCGCCTCGGCTTTCGGCTTTGTTGACAACTACTCGGTGTTGCGAACTCCCAAGAATGACTTGAAAAATACAACTTGTGAGTTAACTTTTAAAAAAGGTAAAAAATATGTCGTAAAACAATATAATAGTAAGAGACCGTTATTCAAGCAAAGTTTGGTTGATTAAAAGAAGGAAACAAGGCTTAAAAAGTGCAAAATTTCGAACACAAATGGCTTTCCGAATTGTTACTAAATTAGTAAATAAAGTTCACGTTAAACAGCCGAATAAAAATGCGCACACAAAATAATCCGATTATCCGAATGTCGTTGAAATGTTAAAAACAACTGGAACATAAAGAGGCAAACCATTTCCATAATCTAGTATACATAGACAATAGTTTAGATTAAAATTTAATTGAAAACTTGCTTAAAAAGGCTTGAAAAGGCGAAGAACGAACTCGGCCAAAATGTCAAAATTTAAACGAAAAAACTCTTTAAAATGATACCTAAATACATGAACTCGTACTTAAAACAAGAACACTAAAGAGGTTGAGAATTAAAACAGGGGTAAATAGCTACAAAGTATTGTTGAGTTTCAACGATTATGCTTGGAATATTAACAAACATTGTGCATATATTTTAAAAAATCGCCTATCACTTGCATGTTCAAAACAACGAGCAAAGTTGAGAAAACCTACAAATTTTACCGCATGTGTCAGCAGTTTCCAAGAGTCTTTGCTTGTGTGTAATCCAGAACCAAAATTGGGCCATTTTGATAAGCTTTTTCCCTTTAAATGCAGCTTTTAATACTTAAAAACTGTTATTGACTCTCGCACCCTTCGCCGCTTGTCGCTACTAGTAGGCTATCACTAATAGCCTACTAGCTATAGTAGCGTAGCCAATCAGAACGCACGATACATGATGGCCTAATAGAAGGTTTATACTAATTAATTTTATACGCGTTTGTAAACAGAATCTAATTTCGAAAAAAAGTCAATAACAAATGATTTTATTGCCGCATGTACGGCCGGAAATCAGCAGATATTCTGATGGCGCAAACCCTTCTAACTCGTTTACACGTCTACATCCGTCAGGGATATAAATTTAGGATATAATTATATCAGCTGGCGTTAACATAGCATTTTTGTGTTTTTCTTACCCTCGACATTTTACCCTCTCCCTCGAAAATTAACCTGAATCGCAGGGCCGTAGGTTCAATTCGTACCAGAGGACCTTGTGCTGCATTTTTCGCAGTCGTTCCTGGTTAGGTCTTAAAATGTATATATTCTCACTTGGATTACAAACCCTAACATTCTAATATGAATTCCACCAAGTGAAGTGCAAGAATCCATCATTGAAATTAACCTCTGCATGCCTCGACATTTTACACTCTCCCTCGACAATTAACCTCTGCCTCGACATTTTACCCTCATCCTCTACATTTTACCCTTGCCCTCGACAACTGACCCACGGCAGTCGACATTCGACCAACAGATAAACTCTCAGCTACATGTTATACTTTAACTGCAATTATTTGAATGAACAGTGGAAACATGGAATTGGCTTAGTATAAATCACATAATATAACTATGATAATTTCGGACACACGAATTCTTTGCGTGTTTTTCCATGTCAAAAGTTAAACAAAATATCCCGCAGTATACGCAGGAAATCGTGTTTTCGATGTCCTAGATTTCAAAATATTCGGCTGCGGAATGCCCTTAGACACTTGAAACTACCTGAACCATTGGTTGGGTAAGCCCGTGTGTGTCCACAGCTTAGCAGTTTCAACTTTTCTGGAAGTGACACTTTTCCGACACTGAAATTATGAAAGGTAATGCATGTTAGTGAAGTTACGAATACGAGACTCATATGTCAATCGTTGCGTTGGGTATCTTATAACGAAGGTATTTCGCAAATGCGAGCGAGCCATAGCAACCACAGATGAGAAACCAAGTTGAGCAAGACAGTAAGATAAATATAGCAAATTAAAAAAGATTCCTTTGAAACAATCAAATATAGATATTGAACGAAATTCTTGAAACGAAAGTCATCAACGTTGCTTTTCTTATAAATTATTTGGGACTCGTAAAACTTGGGGTTCGTATAATTCATGTCCATTACGTCCAATGAAATGCGTAAAGAATATTTTCATTTTTTAAAAATATTTCCATATTTCTCCAAGTTTTCCAAATTTTAAATTTTCTAATTATTCATGAATGAAAAGGCAGAATACCAGCATATTGAACTTACCTAATTACTGGGCATTGTATGCCACCCATCCACCACTTCCGGACACCAGTGCCATTGGTTTAAGAGGACTAAGTTGATCAGATTTCAGGTTTTGATCAGGATTAAGGTTAGACAAAATATTTGGATTGCAGTTGAGTTTGTTAGCGTTTAGGGAGACGCTTGGGCTTGGAGTAGGCATGATGTCTAGGTCATGACTGGTGTCTGGGATGGATGAGACTTGTGATTGAGAAAGAGAGTTTAAGTTTAGTCACCTGAGTTTTTGCTAGAAATATTCTCGCGGGTAGGGGTAGTGTTACAAGCACGAGTGGAAAACGGTGATGGTAAGATATAAGCTTGAGGATGGCGGTTAAGGTTTAGGTCCGGGTTTTTCCATTTCAGATGTATCGCGAATTTTCTGATAAATGCTTTCGCTTGCACGCGAAGGGCTTTATTTTGCCAAAAATAGACCAAGGAATTGAGTGTGGAATTGCTAAGCATGAGCAAAAATGCCCATTTTTTATGCATTGCCTCAATGTACTCATCATTTATCTGAAATAAATTGAACGCCATGTCAACAACTGCCATATTACTGATCTGAAAATAGAGTACAACAATGAAACAGGTTTTTGCTAGTATTTAGTTCCTTCTTAAACGCCAATTCCTTCTTCCTTTTTATTTGATTTTCGGATTCGTGGGAGCTGCAGTTATCGTGGTAAGTGGAACTCTTAAAACGGGAGCAACAAATGCTTGTATAGACAAACACAGTCATGGCGGCGAGAGAAATTGATGTTGCACCAATAAGATAGCGGCCTTCCCGAATGAATGGTAAGGTTACAATAGCGAAAACAGTTTGTAGCCCACAGACTACAAAAAAATATTTCAAGATTCTCGTTTTGGTTACTGTTGCTCGGTGAAACAGTGGATGCAGAATGCCCATATATCTTTCGAAGTTCTGTATTGATAACGAAGTCATCGAATAGAGGTAAAACAGACCTAACAACACAAGCATAGCATATGTTGCCTCACAATTTGGTGATCCCCAAATTTCGCTCGCTAGATGTGCAATAAACATTGGAAATATGATTACACCTATTGCAAGATCGATGATTGATTGGACCATGATTGTGAAATGACAGACCTTTTCGTAGAGCGAACGGATTGTCCAAATTGTTCCCACTGTAACAGTATTGAGAACAACCGTGGACAAGAACAGACAAATGCAGCAAACTAAAGTGACGACGTGGACAACTTTGTCTGTCCCAGATGAGAATTTTTTAATCAGCATTGCTTTGTTAGTTAGAGTGTAACAGGTTACGAAGATTGTGCTGTTTTCGGATGTGGCGTCCATCTTCGATCTGGTTCATGCTGCAAGTTTTCAGAGTTAATGGAAGGTGTTTGTAACAATTTAATGAAAAATGCCAAGATAACATGTTTTTATACCGGCTTTTACCAAGCCAGGTGCTACTTGTAGACAATATTTGCAATATAATGCTCCTACAATGTACATGACCATTAATGACATTATCGTTACATATTTTTAATTAGAACCAAAAGTATAGACTGGGGGTGGAGTTTAATAAGCATTCCTGAATCTCATTTCCACAAGGCATTTTTTAACTATATAAATCCCTCTCCCATGCAAATGTGAAATTGATCGTAGAACCCAGATTTCGTCTATTTGTTGAGTTCTGCGTTCCTTACCAAGTCAGGTTCACATAGGCGTATCGGCGAAAAAATTGGGAATGGGGGAGGACATTGCTCAACATTGATCAACATTTGCCAAGATGGGTTTATGAACACATGAACAGAAGGTATATAAAGGAACACATCGTACAATCCGTTCGAATATATCGAACTATTTACGAGTATTTCTTGGATTTCATTCTTTAAGACACGTCAAAAACTCTTCACTCTATTGCATGCAATTTGACATCTCGACATTAATATCATGTCTTACAAATGACCTGATTTCTTAAACAGCATCGGCATGAATAAACAATGTTTGCCTATGCAGATGCAAGTTGTTTTTCATACTTTCTAATGACCCTGCAATATACATGACCTTTAATTAATGATTACTGTATATTTATTATTACTGTCCAAGATGGAATTTAATAAACATTTCTGTTAACACTTTGACTATATGTAACATTTCCTGTTAGTTATACTAATATTGTTAAAATGCCGCTCTTGTCAGGCTGTTATATAGTGGCCAGTTCTTTGCTATATTACCCATTTCATTTTTCGCGCCACACGCTTTTCTAAAGCCCCGCACTTTGTTGTGACCTGCACTTTGCTATATGGCGCTATCACTAACGTTTTAGTTAAGCGCATCACCACCTATGCCCGTCTTTCGAAGACCATTGGAAAATCAATGATTTAGGGCCTGTTCATATGGGCAAAAGTTATTCCGGTTGGCGAAAAAACTTTTCGACAAGTTTGCAAGCGGGATGTCGCCTTTGTATGAAAATAATATGAAAAGTTACACTGCGTTCATATGAGACAAGAAGTTTTCCCGTGTACCGAGATCTCGCTTGCTTTTTCCCATATGAACACAACTTTCTCGCTTAGCGGGATAACTTTTTGTCGTGTCAGCAACTTTTCAATTCAATTGATGTTTAGTGCTACGTCACAGCCGAAAACTTTACCCGGCAAGCGGGATAAAGTTTCTCCATATGAACAGAACAAAAGTACTTGGCTAGTCGGAAAGTTTTCTCGTTAACCGGGATAACTTTTCCCCATATGAACAGGCCCTTAGCTAGGTTCGACCTGTTCCTGACTGAATTTATTAATATTGATGACATTATTAAAAACTAGGGCTAGCCCTGGCATATCCGAAAACTTTTTAATGTGTTGCCTTTGAATATGCCATGTAGAACTTCACACCTACATGCAGGGCTTGAATATACGATCTCGGCTATAATATTACATGGATATAGGCTATGAAAACAAATGTACTTTATTTATTGCACTACTGTATAGTTTGCTGTCGGAGACAGAATACACATCTAGTGCTCTGTAGTACTAAAAGTCTATGCCACTAGTCTGTATTTCCTATTCAAAATATATTATATTGAGCTACTAAACTAAATGTCCATTTTAATGACGATAAAAAAAATCACTGCATTATCAACATATTTTATAACACCAAGGGAGTAGTGTGTTTTTTTCGCCGCTCTAGTTCTCCGCAATCTTTAAATAGAATAAAATCTATATCTTGAATAGAATAAAAATCAAGAAGAACGAAACCTAAGAACAGAAAATTAAGAACCGAAAAATGTAAAGGCGAAAAACGTACTTAGGTGTCGCGTTTTGTCTTGCGTACGTATAGGCTACTTTTTACAATTATTTCATTTTCTCCATCATAATACGGGATATATTATAGTGATTGTCGTATTACTCCTAGAATGCGCACAATATAAAAAACATTATATACATTTTGTAAATAATCTTTGATTGCGATAGTTTTAGTTCGTTATTATACAATTATTGACTTTTCCATCTAAATATAGATATAGTATAGTGCATGATTGATGCATTACTCATTTAAAAAGAGCATAATAAAACTCTTACATATATTTTGTAATTAAGCTTTGATCGCCTTAGCTTTAGTTCGTTATTATACAATTATTGTATTTTCCATCTAAATATAGGATTTAGTATAGTGCATGGTTGTTGCATTACTCATTTAAAAAGGGCATAATAAAACTCTTACATTTTGTAATTAAGCTTTGATTGCATGCCTAAGTTTTAGTTCATTTTTAAAATTATTTCATTTTCCCGTCTTATTACAGGATATAGTAGCTATTTGTAGTGATTGTTGTGTTACTCAATTAAAGAGCAAAATATAAACTCTTATACATTTGCCCTAGTTTTACTTATTTTTTAAAATTATTTCATTTTCCTGTCTTAATGCAGTGTACAGTATACAGCAATTGTTGTACACTAAGGCCGCTTTTTCGGCAAAAACACTTACATTTTGTGATAAATATTTGATAGCCTTAATAGACCTTTCCCCTTTTGAGTGAAATTTTGAGCTAGACAAGTCTGGACAAAAATTTCATCACAGCTTGAAAGAGCATCACAAACTTCGTAATATTCCAAAGTTTCCGCAACGAAATGTTGTAAAATGCGGATAATATAGCCTTGCGAAGTTTGTCGTTTTTCAGTCATCTTGTATTACAAATGGAAAATTGATAATCAGTTTCATCATCTGATTATCAATTTCCCGTTTGTAATGCAAAATGACTGAAAAACGGCAAACTTCGCAAAGCTATATTGTCCGCATTTTACAACATTTCGAAACGAAACTTCGGAATATTACTAATTTTGTGATGCTCTTTCAGGCTGTGATGAAATTTTTGTCCAGCCATATCTAGATTAAAATTTCACTGATAAGGGGAAAAGTATTGTCTGCTTGTAATAATGATAAAACGAGCATTACACCTTTTTTTGAATACATGTTGCATGTATGGTCCCTTGTAAAAGTCAGACCTTTCAATGAATACATTTTAATTGCAATAGTAATAAAGTTTAGATTTATATAGAAAGAACGGAAGGTCAGGGGTTGGGGGTTCCGCCTAAGTTTATTACTTTTGTAGCTCTAAGACTGCATTTCACCATTTCTGGCATTTTCCGAAACAAGCAAAGCGAAAAATCCACCAAATAGTATGATGCTAAGGAGCATATCCAAGTGTTAAAGGAGTAGTAATAATAATAATAACGACTTTATTTAAGCACGATAATGTTTAAAGCATAAGCTTGTGGGGTCGTGCAAGGATTGGGAATTTCTGGTAAACCGTCCATTCAGTTCGTGGTAAAAATGAAGCTTGTTACTCTCCTGGCGTATCATGGTTTGCGTCGACGAAGAAGGTACGTATAACATAGATCGCCTATAGTACTACAAAAATGAATAGACTATAATTATCGCGCATACGTTACATAAAACTAAATGGGGATAGGAATACGCTGGAAAATGTTTCGTTTAAAAACTTGAGTAAAATAAGGTATCAAAAATTACTAAAATTTATGTCTAGTCTAGTCTAGTCTAGTCTAGTCTAGTCTAGTCTAGTCTAGTCTAGTCTAGTCTAGTCTAGTCTAGTCTAGTTTTATATATAGTTTAGTTTAATTAATTAGATTCGTCGCAAACCTATACAATACGTACATAAATTACAGGTTAGATGGAAAACACGGAGTCGGAGTTCCGGAGTCGGACCCCCGGAGTCGGAGTCCCGGAGTCTGACGTCATAAAAATATGGAAAACACGGAGTTATATGGAAAACACGGAGTCTGACGTCATAAAAATATGGAAAACACGGAGTCATATGGAAAACACGGAGTCTGACGTCATAAAAATATGGAAAACACGGAGTCATATGGAAAACACGGAGTCCACCACAAAAAATATGGAAAACACGGAGTCTGATGTCAGAGAAAAATATGGAAAACACGGAGTCTGACGTATTTTCAGCGTGAAATATGGAAAATAGTAATTAAATAATATATAATTTATGCGAATATAAACAAACGGACGACTAAATAATAAATATAACGAATTATAATTTTTTTGCACTATTAAATTCTGGTTATTTCTCTAAAATGTCGTGAAAATATGGATTATTTATTTTTAAATACAATCAAGCAAATAATATTGTTTCTCTTGTCGTGTGACTTGTTCAGTTGTACCATATTTGAAGTGATTTTAATGCGGATTTTGTTCACCTCCTATGGTATGTTGATAAAAATATAGTTTATATACTTATAATAATACTGCTAGAATATTTCATAGTGGATATACATGTAATATTAACACACAAAATCTTGACACAAAACAGATATGCTGCTTGGAAACAGCGTGCAATATTGTTATTTACTAATAAACAGATGCAGCCAGCCAATACACAACTCCGTGCAGTATATTAATGGCATTAAAAAAGTTTTCAGGTGTCCAAAAAAATACCTGCACTATAGTGAGAAGTCCATACCAAGTTAATATCTCTAACATATAAGTTTTAGGTTTTTATACTGAATTAAATATCATGCAATATCATAAGTTGCAATTAATCAAGCCATTGATATTTGAGTGATCAAGAAGACAAGATAGGTATTTATAACTGACCACTTGTTCCAGGCTTAATTGCATGATACCATTGTAAAATCGTCTGGCGTTAGGCAGGGTAAAATATAAAGTAGGGTACATCTGGGCACAGATATTGCCACTTAATGAAAGGGTTAATATAGCAATTTTTTTATTTCATAAAGTATTACAATGCTCTTGAAAGGGATAATTTTAAGTGAAACCCACCTGTTGTGGACTTACAAAGTAAAATTGTGAACTGATGATGCAGAACCACTGGAAGCTAGGGATTGTGGGGCACTAAATTTACTGTTTTCGTAGATTTTTGTCCAAGAAATTAAGTTATAAAGAACAAAGTAATAGTGTTGCCACATTCATGTAGTTCTATAGGCAAATGGTTGATTTGTCAAATATCAATTATGGATTGTTTCATTATAATCACTGGAATGCTCATACTGGATGGTTGTACAATAAGCAAAATTTGCCTTAGTAAAGTAAGCGAGTATCTAGGCTGGCTTGCATTACATATAAATATCCGCTATAATCCTATTCTATAGTTGGGAAAAAATTAAGAAGTAAAACAAATCTAGAATGAAATATATTTCCCTTCAATAGTTTAAAATTTAATAAAATGTCATTGTGTTGAAATAAAAATATTCTACCAACTGTTTTTGTAGCCATAGGTGTTAATTTAAACCATGACATGCTCAATCGTATGAACTATGAATGCAGATTTGCAGTGGTGTAGTGGCATAGACTTGTATGTCACTACGAATCTATGTAAGATATATTGAGCATTAATTACATGGTTTAAATTAACACCTATATGGCTACAAAAACAGTTGGTAGAATATTTTCATTTCAACACAATGACATTTTATTGAATTTTGAACTATTACAGCCATTTTTGTGCCTATATATGCAACTAACTACAAATTGCATATATTGAAGGGAAATATTTTTCATTCTTGATTTGTTTTACTTCTTAATTTTTTCTAACTATAGTAGGATTATAGGGGATGTTTATATGTGATGCAAGCCAGCCTAGATACTCGCTTACTTTACTAAGGCAAATTTTGCTTATTGTACAACCATCCAGTATGAGCATTCCAGTGTTTATAATGGAACAATCCATAATTGATATTTGACAAATCAACCATTTGCCTATAGAACTACATGAATTGTGGCAACACTATTATTCTGCTCTTTATAACTTAACTTGTTGGACCAAAATCTACGAAAACAGTAAATTTAGTGCCCCACAATCCCTAGTTACCAGTGGTTCTGCATCATCAGTTCACAATTTTACTTTGTAAGTCCACAACAGGTGGGTTTCACTTAAAATTATCCCTTTCAAAAGCATTGTAATACTTTATGAAATACAAAATTTCTATATTAACCCTTCAATTAAGTGGCAATATATGTGCCCAGATCAGTACGCTACTTTATATTTTACTCTGCCTAATGCCAGACGATTTTACAATGGTATCATGCAATTAAGACTGGAACAAATGGTCAGTTATAAATACCTATCTTGTCTTTCTTGATCGCTCAAATATCTAAGTCTTGATTAATTGCAACTTATGATATTGCATGATATTTAATTCAGTATAAAAACCTAAAACTTATATGTTAGAGATATTAACTTGGTAAGGACTTATCACTATAGTGCAGGTATTTTTTTGGACACCTGAAAACTTTTTTAATGCTATTAATATACTGCACGGATTTGTGTATTGGCTAGCTGCATGTATTTATTAGTA